GTTTAGCTGGCTAATGCGCATTACGGATGAGGACTCGTCAGGTTTTTGGAAGTCTTACCTCAATTATCTTTTGGACAATCAAGGGGGTCCTTTTCTACTTCAGTGTAATTATTAAGTAAACCAGACAAACATTTCATCCACTTTTTATCAGGATCTATTAGTGTGGTGGTCAAATATAAGAGAAATAGTAGATCCAACTTAATTGTTGAAAAAAGAATTGTAATTGTTGTAATTGAGGAAAGAAAGAAAGAAAGAAAGGCAAAAAGAGAAAAAAAACTGTCCGCCATGTTTATTTCCCGAGATGGACAAAGGTTGCGAGCTTAGTAACCAAGCTCTAGTGGGGTGAATATAGCGTCATCATGCCGAGCTTTTCGACCAATCAGAATGTCCAATTCCCATATTCACCTCTGGAAATTCAGTATACTAAAGTAAAATGGTAAATTTCTAGGAGATCTACTACATCGAGGAAATCTTTCATGCCAGTGTTTTCCTTACTGAAGCTTTAATGAAAATTAAATTTACACACATTACAACCAGGTTTTTTAATTATGTTTATTAAATCACGTCACAATTTCCTTCAGTTGAGCAAGCGTCTCACACAAAAACAAAAATCACGCCAAAATGAAAAGCCCTCTAAGACGCAGAGCCTTTGATCGAGGAAGCTCTATTCTGACAAATAATGCAATCTTAAAAACGGCTTTGGCCGGCAAGGCTATTGGCTTGTCAAAGGTATATAGGTAAATCACAAAATTCTTCAGATTGGGCGAAAGAAACATATCTTGAGGAAGCTACTTGACGGATGTAGTTGAGCGTTCCAGGACAAATAAAGTTGCTTGGTCAAATCTACGGTTTAATCAGTTTCCCTTACTTTTAAATTATTTGTTTGATCCCCGCACTTCTTCATCGCCTGACCTCCTGTATCACCACCAAGAGCTCTTCATGCATTTCTTATAACCACTAAATCCAGAGCATCTTAAGCCAATTGGTACGAGGCAGTAAGAACTGTAAGGTTTCTTCTTGCAACACAGGTCGTGCTCGTAACAGCCGCGATGCCAGCAGCAGTCACCACAAAACCACTTCCAACACGAGCATCCCTTGCCGCATAATCCGCGGCAATTGTTTCTCGTTGGCTTTGCACAGCCACGTTTCTGCCTTTCGCCATCAATGGAACCATCTTCTAAGTCATACGGAGCTTTCAGGTCGGGCGGTGTCTCTACGTCGGAGGCCTTGAGTAAGTTAAAGCACAGGGAGTGGAATGACTTGAGAACTTCCAGCCTTGCGGAGTTGTCACCCAGCGCGGCTAACGCTCGCTCCAGTAGCTGNCCTTTAGCAGCATTACAGACTGTGGATTCACCCCAAACAATATTGTCGGATCGCTCCACCTACACGTAGATGATGTGTGACGTGATTTCAGCATTCAAAATGCTATGATACGTATGAAATGACTTCAATCAGTTTAACATCAGAACTTGCTATTGAACCGCTGTATGCATTTAAAAGAGTAATTTTACCCGCGTGCTGACGTCAACTGCACTGATGAAAGAGATAATAACTAGTCTATTAGCCTCTCTTATTGTAAAACACAAATCACCCCCACGCCCTCATCCTTCCCCCCCCCGTTTTACGCTTGCAACGTAAGCTGTCATTCTTAAGAACTGACTTACTTTCAAGCAACACACTTCCGTGAATCTGTAACTGCTTCAAGAACCGCGCGATCACACGAGATAAGCCGTAGAGACGGACAAATCAATACTAATTAAAAATATAAATATAGCCATCTGAAACCTATTTACTTGATTATAAAATTTTGTTCAATTATCAAGAGCGCATAAAATTTCTGTTACAAAATATTAATTATTCGCAACCGTAATCGGGATTTACACAGCAATTATTAAAAAACAAAGATTAAAAATTTAATCTGGAGCTGTGACCACAAGTTCTGACAAACAAAGCGAGCGCTAAACAGGTCTGTCATAAAGATTAATTGTTGGCTTTCATTGTCACTCCACGAATGTGAGCAGTCTTTCTTTTCCTCGAAAACCGTGGGGAAGAACGCAAAACACGCCCGTGCTACCAGCGGCTCGAGGCATCGCCGCTCGCACGTGGTCCTCACAGTAGACTACGACTAGTCCCTATTTCGCATAGTCCGTCGTGCGTTCCTTTCGCGCGCTCCTGGCCCCCAGGATTTCGCGCGGCCATTTTTTTCTCGCGGTTTTCTTTCGCGTCACCCACGACGGACTGAGCGAAAGAGGGACTGCTCGTAGTTTATCCTCACAGTCACGCTCGCACGCTTACTTGTTTTGCGTTCTTCCCCACGAATTTTCGAGGAAAAGAGAAAGTGCTCGAAGTCTACGAAAGAGTAAAATCGAAACCAAAAAATAAAAGAGGTTAAGAATCTCAAATGTTATAATATTAGACTTGATGAATAATCAACTTCTCCGAGGCTTCGGTCTGTGAGACATTCTGTACTCAAGTTATCCGTCACAAAGTTTCACCTGACAAATTTATACTATAGAGCTCAGTACGGAAACGCCAATATGTGTCACGAGAAGCTAAGGGGCACCAAACCCCTTTACTTCTACGGAGGAGAGAGATCGATGTCTCCGTAGTGATAAAAATGCAAGGCAGCTGCCATATATAGACATTTCACATATTCGCCACTCTGTGTTAATTCATGCATAAACTAATCTCTATAGCGTTGATTCTACTTACTCGATAAAAGCCTGATCCAACACTTTGTAGAACAACATGTCAGGGCCAAGTTCTCTGTAAAGCAAAATTTGTTCCCCGGTTGTCTTCAGTAACTTCATGTGGCCTTTGCCAACATCGAAGCAAACACCCATGGTTTCATTGTGGATGTAGCATCCTTCGACTTGGGCCTCGGAATGACTCTTTAAGTGAAGTCCTTGATTTGCAGATGTGGCTGCTATGGAGAACAGAATGGCGACAATTGAGCTCGCAAGCTGAAGCATGGACATCATGGCTGTTGGGTTTCTCTCAGGCGCAATGTTCAGCCACAGATCCTCACTAGAAATGGATGCGTTCAGTAGAGTCGTTAGGTTTTATGTTGATTCCACACCTATCAAAATTTCCCTTAACGTTGCTGACGTGGAATAAGCCACTTTCGATATATTAAAATCCAGCTTGATAGTGAGGTCTAGAGGACACAAACAAAAGAAATAAATAAACATGGTCATTCAGTTTATTTTGCTTGTGTCCTCTAGGCCTCACTGCAAAGTTGAATTTTAATATATCGAAAGTGGCTTATTCCACGTCAGCAACGTAAAGGGAAAGTCATTAGTAGCCTCTAAATTCCAGGCGTTCACTTCACTTTGCAGCTTACGTGAAAGAGCAAGTAAAAAAGGCGTGTACCAAAGTATCTGCTTTAAGAAAGATTCGGAGGTTTATTTCCTCTGACGGTATGGGACGCCTCTACAAGGCACACATTTTACCTCATTTAGAATATTGTTGTCCGCTATTGCTTGGGGCTAGTAGATGTCAACTGAAAAACCTAGAGGACACAAATTATTATATTCTCAGGTTCATTTTAGGTTATGGGAAAAATACGTGCTATGATTATTTATTAGAGATAGTTAAAATAAATCGCTAGAACAAATAAGAAAATTTAGGGCCCTAGTTTTAGTTTACCGATGCATGAATAATCAAGCCCCACCCTACATACAAGGTTTTCTTAATACCAAAATTTGTAATTATAATTTAAGAGGGTCGGACACTCTTTTAATGCTCATTTTAATTTAGAATGGCGTCATAGATCGTTTTCATTTTTAGCTGCAAAGATCTGAAATTTATTACGTCCTTATTTTAGAGGAG